GTAAATAGGGTTTCCTACGGCATCATAGATCTAACTCCTCTGTCGCAGACGTGAACGAATGCGCCGAGGGCAGCCCCTGCTCGCCCGGCTGGTGCGAGAACCTCCCGGGCTCCTTCCGCTGCACGTGCGCCCAGGGCTACACGCCCGCGCCTGACGGCCGAAGCTGCCTGGGTAAGCTCCCTGCGCTGTCCATCCCTCCGCCCCAGTTCCACGGCCCCTACTCGCCCCCGCCGAAGCTGGGGTGGGTAAGGCGAGGTAGCCCTTGCTGTCGCCACTCACTTTCGCAGCCAACCTGCCCCAGGAAGGGGCCACCAGAATTTCCACCCGGAAGGGTCTTATTGAAGCTGCTTTTGCAGAGTTTAAGTTTGAATAGAAAAAAATAAAGCTGCAAGAGAATGGGGAAGGCCTTAGTGTTTCCCCTCCCCCAATATTTCTCATGCACCAGGAGGTGGGCTGGGGCTGGGGCTGACACTGCAGAACAAGGATCAGTGCTGGAGCTGTGGCCTGGATGAGACTGGGGTGACCCTAGGAACATCAGCGAGGCTGGGGGGAGGGAGGCCTGAGCTGTCTGGAAGGGTGGGTAGGACGTAGGCAGGCGGGGGGGGGGGGGGGGGGGGGGGGGGGGGGGGGGGGGGGGGGGGGGGGGGGGGGGGGGGGGGGGGGGGGGGGGGGGGGGCAGGGACAGCACCCAGGCAGAGGGCTGAGCACCTGCAGACCCTGTGCAAAGCCAGACAGGGCCTGTGGGAACCTGGGAGGTAGAAGCAGGGCTGGGGCTGAACCTGACTGCTGAGGGGCACGCCCCGCGGGCACGCCCCGCCTGCACGCCCCGCCTGCATCCTGCTGCTGTTAGGAGGCACCCGAAGCATTTTAAGGGAAGTGACAATTGCATAGCTGGCTTTACGTTTCCTGCTGCTGAGTGTGGCCACCGCTGGGGGTCTGTGGGAGAGACAGACAGTGGCCGTGAGAGGAGCGGCCTCAGGATGCTCACAAGATGATGGGATAGCAGCGGCATACTAGCTGGTGTTACCTAGACACACCAACAGGATGTCCAGGTAGAGGAGGCACGTGAGGGACCCTCCGGGTGCCAGCTTGGGTGAAGGCTGGTGATCTGCTGGGATCGGTGCCCACCCTGCCCAGTGGCACGTGTTTGGAAGACACTGCGTTTGGTGGGCCGGTCACGAGGCTGGAGACACAGTGGGGGGCCATGGTCTGGAGCCTTGGGCCAGACACACCATCCGGGACCGTGGGCCTTGGGGGCTGTGGAGCCTTGGGAGAGGGGCCTCGGCAGGGTCTCCTGGGTGCTGCCACATCTGTGGTGGGCAAGGGGGTAGAAGCTGGAGCCCCCAGGCGCAGCAGCTGAGAAGAGGCTCCGGGCCCCAGGGCATGGGCTGAGTGCGGCAGTGAGGCTCCTGCCCTGTAAGAGCGAACAGATGGGGTGACCGCTCCCTGGATACCTGGCAGGTGGCTGCTGCAGCTGCGCGGGGAGCAAAGGGGTGCAGCGAGCCTGGGGTCACCGCGTGAGCATGGCAGGAGAGGGGAAGCAGGGCAGCTGGGAGAGGAGGGGGCCAGAGGCAGCCAGCGGGGAGCAGGTCGAGTGACGAGGGCTGTTCCAGGTGCTTAAAGACTGGCCTTGATGTTCCCAGTGTGTGCCCAGAGTAGGGCACTTGCTGCCCAAGGCCATGGGGGCTGCTCAGGGACTCCCCAGAGGTTCAGATGTGGGGGGCGGGGGGCTCTTTCCACTCTGGGGATCCGGCCTGACGAGCAGGAGGAGTGGTGCAGGCCCCACTCAGCGCCCGGCTTCCAGAGGCCGAGAGGCAGAAGGGAGGTTCGTCGTGGGCCCCTTCGAGATAAGGTGGGGAGACTTGGGGACTACAGAGCTGGTGGGAAAGAAGCAGCTGCTGAGGCCCACGGAGGGGCAGTGCTGAGGGCCAAAAAGCGCCCTGTGCTGAGTAGGCCCCAGAAACGCAGGGCCGAGGCGCGCCAGGTCAGAGCCGGCCTCTGCTGAGTCCCGGGATCGAGGGAGACAGGCAGACAGCTCTGGAGGTGGCGCTGGCAGCAGAGAGGGTGGGAGACTGCGGGGGGCCTTCTGCCCCAGGAGAAGAGTGGTTTTGGGGGGGCGGGGTGTAGGGAACAAGCAGCTTCCAGAGGCGAGACCTGCACACCAGCACGCACGCCGGGAGAGCCAAGTGCCTCTGCTGCAGAAACAGGGGTTCTGGGCACAGGTCAAAACCACGGGGAGCTTATTCACCTGGGAAGAAGGGAGCCATGTCAGGCAGGGCCAGGGGAGAGCAGAAGAGAGGGTTGCTGGGCACAGACGCCCAGGGCAGCGTGGGCGGAGCAGTGAGTGGCCAAGAGATGAGGACACCCAGCTCTTGGCATCAGCCCCGGCTCTAGGTCCCGACAGCCAGAGCGTGCATCTGGGGAGCAGCACGAGCTGCTCTCTGGTCCTGGCTTCAGCACTGGGGCCCCCAGTGATGGGCAGGGGTGGAAGGGTAGCAGAGCCCACGCCCCGCCTGATTCTGACTCCCCTGTGCCCTGCAGACGTGGACGAGTGTGAGGCTGGGGACGTGTGTGACAACGGCCTCTGCACCAACACGCCAGGCTCCTTCCAGTGCCAGTGCCTCTCAGGCTACCACCTCTCCAGGGACCGGAGCCGCTGCGAGGGTGAGGGCGCTGACCTGTCCCTCCCCCCCGGCCCGCCACTGCCCAGGGGCCCCCTGTGCACCAGCCAGGCACAGCCAGCCCAGCCCCATCCGGACCACGCTGGGGCACGGGGTACCCGCCCGAGCCAGGCTGTGGGGAACACTGGCAGGCTCGGGCCAAGAGAGGGACCAGTCCTGAGGACTCTCCGCCTCCTTGGTCCCACAGACATCGATGAGTGTGACTTCCCCGCAGCCTGCATCGGGGGCGACTGCATCAACACCAACGGCTCCTACCGGTGTCTCTGTCCCCAGGGGCATCGGCTGGTAGGAGGCAGGAAGTGCCAAGGTACGTGGGGGTTGGCTGAGAGGAGGAGGAAGGCGGCGGGTAGTCATCTCCTAGCCAGACTGTCCACCCCACCCGCCCGCCCATCCTTCCTTCCACTCACTCATCCTTCCACCTTTCATCTAGAAGAACAGTAATAATGACCATGAGTGAAGACAGGAGCTTCCTGTACAGGGTGCCGACCGCTCTCTTGGTATTAGTGGGTTCATCTTCCCCAAAGCTCGCCATCCTGGGCATCCACCCACCGGAAGTGACGGCGCCCCACCGTTTGCCAGGCTCTGTGCTCTGCTACAGCAGCCCCAGGGCCCAGCGGAGGGGGCCAGCATGTAAACTGACTCTCATGGCTCAGGGTGCTGGGTGCCCAAAGAGGTCTGGCTAGTGACTAACTACCAGCACGTGACAGCCCAATGGGGACTTGGAATGTAAATAGGGTTTCCTACGGCATCATAGATCTAAGCAGAGAAAAGCATGGGATGGCATTTCAGGCCCCAAAGGACAGTCTTCACAAAGCATAGAAATCTGGAGGGAGCTGGCTGTTTCTAGGGGCGAGTAGCCGGCTATGCCCTGAGCTGGGGTAGCGGTGGGGGCTCAGAGTGGAGTGGTGAGAGTGAAAGCTGTCAGGGAAACCAAGCTGGAGCCTTCAGTGCCGAGCTGAGCTGGGACCCCATTCTGGCCAGTGGGCGTCATTGAGGGCTCCTGAAGACTAACGTCGGTGCGCGAACATCCATCCCAGGCAGACAGGCGCGGGGCCTGCTGCTGGGTGGAGTTTGAAATGGAGCAGAAGGTCAGGGGCAGAGCTCCTGAGGCCCCGGCGCCCCGCGGAAGGGCTGGTTTCCACGGCCCCCCTCCCCCCTCCGCAGACCTAGACGAGTGCAGCCAGGACCCCGGGCTGTGCCTGCCCCACGGCGCCTGTGAGAACCTGCAGGGCTCCTACGTGTGCATCTGCGACCAGGGCTTCACGCCCACCGCGGACCAGCATGGCTGTGAGGGTGAGTGCCCTCCGGCTCCCTCAGACCACATCACCTCTCCACTGGGCTGCTGCGCGCTCCCCAGCCTTGAACCCGGGGGCATCTCTTGGCCAGGATGTCTGGTGGGGGCAGCTCTCGGGGAGGGTGTGGAGTGCCACACCGAGGGACTTGGCTCTCCCAGGGCAGCTGTGGGGAGCCGGGGAATGGGGGCAGCAGGAGATGAGAGTGGTGGGTGGGCCGCCCAGGCCGCCCCCCCAGCACCGACCTCCTCTCCCCTCAGAGGAGGAGCTGCCCCACCACAAGAAGGAGTGCTACCTTAACTTCGACGACACGGTGTTCTGCGACAGCGTGCTGGCCACCAACGTCACCCAGCAGGAGTGCTGCTGCTCGCTGGGCGCCGGCTGGGGGGACCACTGCGAGATCTATCCCTGCCCGGTCTACAGCTCAGGTGAGGACCGCAGGCCCTTCCCTTCCCGAGCCTCTTCCTTCCCTGACGGAGATGGCCCGCCGCGGCGGGGGGGGAAACGAGACCCCTTCTGCGCCTGCGCAGCCAGCGCGCTCAACCCAGCCTCGATTCTCCCCCACCGCCGCCCTCTCGCCGCAGCCGAGTTCCACAGCCTCTGCCCGGACGGGAAGGGCTACACCCAGGACAACAACATCGTCAACTACGGCATCCCCGCCCACCGCGGTAAGCCCTATCCCCACGCGGTGAGCCCCGACGCCTCCTGCCGGCAAGCCCCGCCCAGGCCCTCCTGCCGGCCCCGCCCGCTGCGCAAGCCCCGCCCTCCAATAAGCCCCACCCCTATAACGTCTGCGCCGGTAAGAGCCTCTTCAAAGCGCCGGCTGCGGCGGTAAGCCCCGCCCACTCCCCCACCTGCCGGTGCCTGGGCGACGGCGCAGGTAAAGGCCACTTGGCGCCCGCGGCTTGTCACTCAACAGACATCGACGAGTGCACACTGTTCGGGGCAGAGATCTGCAAGGAGGGCAAGTGCGTGAACACGCAGCCCGGCTACGAGTGCTACTGCAAGCAGGGCTTCTACTACGACGGGAACCTGCTGGAGTGCGTGGGTGAGTGCGGCCGGCTCCCGCGACCACGCCCCCGACTCCAGGCCTCCCCACACCCGCGCGTTCCCTCCCCGCAGACGTGGACGAGTGCTTGGACGAATCCAACTGCCGGAACGGAGTGTGCGAGAACACGCGCGGCGGCTACCGCTGCGCCTGCACGCCCCCGGCCGAATACAGCCCGGTGCAGCGCCAGTGCCTGAGCCCGGAGGAGATGGGTGAGGCCCGGGCCGCCGCGGCGGGGAGAAGGCGCGGGGCAGGGGTCCAGCTGATCAGTGACCGCCGCCCCACCCACCCCTCGCTGCCCGTAGATGTGGACGAGTGCCAAGACCCGGCAGCCTGCCGCCCCGGCCGCTGCGTCAATCTACCAGGCTCCTACCGCTGCGAATGCCGCGCGCCTTGGGTGCCCGGGCCCTCGGGCCGTGACTGCCAGCTCCCGGAGAGCCCGGCGGGTGAGGGCGAGGGTGGGCCTGCCCACTCCACTCCCGGACCCTGTCCGCCCTGAGGAGCTCCGGGATCACGGCCCCGCGCGGTGGCTGGAGGGAGTGCGGGTGATCCCGGTTTAGGCTCCTCCCAGACGCCAAGCGTCCCCTCCTCAGAGCGTGCCCCGGAACGGCGGGACGTGTGCTGGGGCCAGCGCGGAGAGGACGGGATGTGCGCGGGACCCCTGGCCGGCCCCGCCCTCACCTTTGACGACTGCTGCTGCCGCCAGGGCCGCGGATGGGGCGCCCAGTGCCGCCCATGCCCGCCACGTGCCGGTGAGGCAGCCTGGGAGTGTGGGTGGGCTCATGGGGGCAGGAGCCGAGGGCAGTAGTGCCCCTGACCGCTCCCACCCCTCCCAGCGGCCCAGTGCCCGACTTCACAGAGTGAGAGCAACTCCTTCTGGGACGCCAGCCCACTGCTGCTGGGGAAGCCCCGGAGAGGTGAGTTGCGGGAGGGCAGGAGGTGGGCTACGCGGTCACCTGCTGGCGGCGGCGCTGACATCCGTATTCTCCGGCCCACGCAGAGGAGGACAGCTCGGAGGAGGATTCTGACGAGTGCCGCTGCGTGAGCGGACGCTGCGTGCCGCGGCCGGGCGGCACGGTGTGCGAGTGTCCCGGGGGCTTCCAGCTGGACGCCTCCCGCACCCGTTGTGTGGGTGAGCTTGGGGGCGGGGCCTGACCTTCGAACCCACCTCCCGGGAAGCTGAGGGGCGATGGCGCCCCTAGAGCAGTCGCATCCTCCCCCTCCCACTTGCAGACATCGACGAGTGCCGAGAGCTGAACCAGCGTGGGCTGCTGTGCAAGAGCGAGCGCTGCGTGAACACGAGCGGCTCCTTCCGCTGCGTCTGCAAAGCCGGCTTCGCGCGCAGCCGTCAGCACGGGGCCTGCGTGCCTCAGCGCCGCCGCTGAACCGCCAGGGCCTTGGCGATCGCAGACAGGTTTCTGTCGCCTGGACGCTGGGGCGACACTCAGGCGTTCCTGGGCCTCTCCTTTCTGCACAGACTAGAGGCCTGGACCGGGGACTCTCGGGACAAACCCTGCCCACGCCCCGTGTCCCAGGGCGACCCTAGAGGCTCTGCCTGGTTCAGAGACAGATAGGTCTCTGGGGCGCTGCTGGCCTTCCTCCCAGAGGGGCTTTTTTAGAAACTGATAAATCGCGCCTTTACTCTTGGCTTTGGAAGCAAGTTGATGTTCCTGTCCATGGTGGGCTCGGACTTGGTGGGGCAGCAGACCCGGCCTTCTTAGAGGGGCTAGACGGCGCCCAGCACAGGGGTGTGAAATAGAATTTATTGTGGCTCTGATTATGTACAGGTGAGATGCGCCTGGCCGGATGGGCTGGGCTCACATGGTTTGTACAATAAATACATCTGTCCAGCCAGCTTTCTGGAGCCGGAAGTGCCCACACCAGTGGTTCAGTCCAGTTTCCGGGTTCCCAGTTTCATGGGGCCCTTGGCTGCCTTCTTCTCAGCCCGTTTGGCCTCCATCTCCCGTCGACGTTCCTCCCGTTTCTTCCTGGCCTGCTCGGCCTTGGCCTGCCCTGGACATGGGACAGGGAGGTGGGCTGAGAGCTGTGGGCCACCGGGGTCTTGGCTTCCCTGACAGCTTTGCCCAGGGGTGGCCTGAGTTCCCCAGCCCTCCCCACAGAAGCACTTACGGCTCTCAGTCTCCAGGCCCTCCCAGTTGTCGTCACCCCAGGAGTCCCGCCTTGGCTGAAAAGGAATCGCGGGCTGGAATGGAGGCCAACTCCAACTGGGGTCCTCCCCCCATCTATACCCTTCCACGGAACCCTGCCAAGTACCTGGGTAGCAGCCTCCCGACGCACAGAGAGGGCAGCAAAGGGGTCACCCTTGTCACTGGGCTCCAGGCCGCCCCAGTTATACTCGCTGGCCAGCCGAGTGCCCTCTGGGGCTGGGTCCTGGGGACTTGGCTCCTGCCAGCCCTGGTCCCATGAGCCCTCAGCTTCCCAGCTGCTCCAGTCAGACTCAGGGGATTTGTGCTCTGGGTTGCTGGCCTGCAGAAGGGCGGGAGGGTGAGGGCGTGCCAGACCACAGCAGAAAAGAAAGAGGACAGATCCGCCCTCCACACATGCAGACACACCCCCCCCAGGCTCACCTGCCCGGCTCGGCTGGCTTGGCCCCCAGTATTCCAGTCCTCCTGCTGGGCCAGCACAGACTCAGCCTCTTGCTGCAATGTGGGCAGGAGAGCACCATCATGGAGACCCAAAGGGGGTGGGAGCCCCCAGACCACCCCCAGCCACGGCTCCACCCTTTCTTTGGCCTCTCAATTCATTTGTTTCTGGGGCCCGCTGCCCACCCTTACAGTGCACGTGCTAAACCTGGCCGGCCGGCACTCCACTGGGAGACCAGGGAAGGAGAGCGAGAGTGCACACCCACACCCACCGTATGGCCTCAGTGGCCAGATGCTGCTGCCAGCAGGACGGGAACCTGGTCTGCTGCCATACCGTTCATTCAAGGCAAGACCGCTCAGTTCTCGCTCAGTTCTCACCCCACCCCCTGCCCCGCAGGCCCGCAAGGGCTGGCTGGCACTGGGGCAGGTGGCAGAGAGACGCCGAGTAGAGGGAGCAAGGCCAGTGGTGGCCCAGCCATCACCCGTGGGCTTTATACTTCCCACCCTGAGTTGAACGGGGCTCAGCTGCGGCTCCCTGCTGGCCCGACTCCAGCCACACCCACACGCGTTCCCTGGATGGCAGCCCACGGTCTCCCGGTCCAGGGGGCCCCCTTGGCCCCGGGCACCTCCAGGCTGCCCCAGTCTTCGTCATCCCATCTGTCCGCGGCGCCACTGTCCTCCTCTGGGTCCTTGTCCTCCTCTTGCGCCTCCCAGTGGCTTGAGGGTGCAGGTGCGGCAGGGGCAGGGGTGGGAGCAGGGGCAGGAAGTCCTGGGGAGCAGAGGCTCGGTGAGTCCCACACACGGGTCCCCAGGAAGGTCTCAGAAAATGTGCCGCTGGGAAAATGTGGCAGGGGGATATAGGGACGGGGTAGGGCATGTAGGAAGGGGGAGACGATGAGGGAACTCGGCCTTACCCTGTCCCCCACAATCTGATCACCGTCCGGGGGGAGCGGACAAGCAGCCGGTGTGGGACACTCACCCTCAGGCACGGGTCTCTGAGCAATGCTGGTCTCAGCAGGAGCAGCCGAGGGGTGTGCACGGATCAGTTTGGAGGTGAGCGAGGACACCCCTGTCACGGCCCAGCCGGCCCAGCTGGCTGCGGCTCCTCCCGCCCCAGGGCTGGAGGCTGCGTGGACATCCTTCTCTGGGAGGAGCAGGAGAGGGAGGCAGTTATGGGGGCCTCGGGGTCCCACAGGAAGGGGAAAGGAGAGCACAGCCCCACCCGCTCCAGGCTGTCCTCGCCATCCGCGAGGCCGGGCAGGAGCAGAGTCCGTCCTGCTCTCTAGGGCTCCCCCAGCTTGCAGCCGCCCCTGGGAGGGGCAGGGGCACACTGGTGCGCACGGGCAAGGGTGCAGCAGAGAGGGAACGCAAGGGGGGCCACTCACCCGCCTCCGCCAGCTGGGTGGGGTCTTCTGACACACACTCCAGTTTGGACAGGAAGCTCCGGATGGCTTTGAAGGCCTACGGGGCGGCAGGGCAGGGCTGGAGACTCCAGCAGGCCCAGCAGCCCCCAGGGTCTGCCCAGCGATCACCCTAGCGCCCGAGTGCCTTACCTGGTCTCGCACAGACTTCTCAGGGTCAACAGTCAGGCCGCAGAGCACGGGCAGGATCTTCTGGGCACAGTCGTTCATCGAGTAGAGGTTGTGGGTGGCAGCAAAGCCCAGGACACCCGCAACCCGGGACGGTGCAAACGGGTCCTTTGTGGCCCGGCTGAAGGCGGAGGTGAGGACCCTGTGTCTGGTCTGGGGGGGACAGGGGCGAGGGCTTCTGAGGAAAAGGTCAGTGCTGGAGCCCAGAACTGCCAGGCTTTACCTCCCAGAGCGGTCCCCAGAGTCCGGAAAACCCGAGCCTGTCACCAATAACTTCAAAGGGGAGGGTGGGCTTCCTTCTGGACCTTGGCTTCTCCCCAGGAGGCTGGGCTCGTGCTGTCCCCACTGAGGTCTGGGCCTCCCTTCCCACCAGGCCCGGCCCCAGCTGTCTCCTGGGCACTGCGGCGTCCACGTCCTGGGGCCAGGCAGAGCCACCCCTGGCTGTGTGACTGGCACAACCCCGCCTCCTGACATGGGGCCAGGGGCCCCGGGGCTGGGGCTCAGGAAGCTGGCGCCCCACACAGGGCCGGGCAGCCTGTGGGCATGCGGGGCACTCACGCTGGCGCTGAGGCAGGAGCCGATCTTGCCCAGGCAGACGGTGGTGTTGCAGCGGATGGGGCCCTGGTCGTCCCTGGCCTGCAGCCGTGCGAAGTGCTTCATCAGCTCCACGTTGAGGTTGGACTCGTTCAGCTTGGGGGCCAGGAGCAGCATGGACTGCAGGGCAGGAGAGCGGGGGTCGTGCGGGGCACAAAGGGCCTGTGAAGAGCAGCCTCCTGGGAGGCTGAGGTGGCTGCATGGCCTAGGCACCGAGAACAACGAGAACCGCCCCACGCCTACCCGCTTCTGGTCCTGGCGCAACCCCGCGCCCCGGGACGTGGGAGCCTCCACGCAAAGCTGTCTGAGCTCCTGCTCCCGACCTGCACGCTGCTCAGAATGTCACAACACCCCTCCCCACACACAGTCCCCCGAGTTGGCCCGGGGGGAAGGCACCAGTGACTTCTATGTTGCTAAAGCCAGCAGTCAACTGCCCGCCCTACCAAAAACTCCTCCGCAGCGCTGGCACCGCGCCCCGGCGCCGTCTGTCTCTCCTCACTGAGCGCTGTTCAGACCAGGCTTACTCCTCGGGCGCCCAGCAGCCAGTGTCTGCCCCGAGGACTCGGGGCCGCACCGCCGCGACTCACCCCCAGCTCAGCTGCGCCCACTGCCGGGCCCCCGCTGCCGTCTCGTACAGGTTCAGGCCACAGGCTGAAGCCAAGGCCCCGGGCCAGGAGTGGGCTGCCTCCAAGCCTGGGAAGCCGCACCTACCTTGACCGTCTGCTCCCGGATGGCCGGGTTGGTGTCCAGGAAGCCGTGCACAACATGGGGGAAGATCTGGGTGTTGACTGTTGGCTCGTCGAGGTACTGGATGAACTGCTCCATCTGCGGCCCAGGTGGGGGCGTGAGGACGTAGACAGCCTCCCACCACCCCAGAACCACGGGGCTGCTCTAGGTTGGCCTTCTCCACCTGGCGGGCGCAGCTGAGAGGGGAGTCTCCTGAGTGCCCCCCACCTGGCCTCAGGCCCACATAGGGGTGAGAAGCAGGAGGGTGCCAGGATGAGCCAGGATGGGCGGGGGCTGTGGCTCTGGTCTGGCTCGGCAGTCAGCTGTGCTGCGCCCCTCTTGGGCCTCTTCTGTCGAAGGGCAGCACCCACCCAGGCGGCGCCTTGAGCCGGGCCAGGCATCGACGGCCGGAGCTGCGCTCTGGGAGCGCCAGGCAGGGCTCCTGGCTCACAGGGCCCCCGGGCCCCAGGCGACCCCGTCCATGCCATCTGATGCTCCCAGTGCCCTGGGGCTCACGCTACCCCACTCTGGGAGCCAGAGCAGCAGCCAGGACATGGCAGGGCCTGGGCCGTGGAGCCCGAGTGCCCCAAGCTGCCAAGGAGGCCTGCGGCCACCGGACTCCCTGAGAGCATTGCCTACCGGCCCCAACCTGTGTTTGGGAGGGAAGGCATTTCTGGGGTGCACAAAGCAGGGGCTCAAGCCACCAATCTCAGGGTGATGACGCAGGGGTCTGTCTCCCCGGCGGCCAGGGTAGGTCTGGCAGGGCGGAGGGACAGGGTCTGGGGCGGCCCCCACCTGCTGAAGGAGGCGGATGCGCATGGCCCGGTCGGGGGACGAGAACATCTTGACCACCACGGGCACGACCTTCTGCTGGTACTCCTCGGCGCTGAGGAACTTGCCCACCTGCGGGGGGGTTGGGAGGGGCTCAGCTCCCTCACAGGAGAGGCAGCTTCATGGGGTGCATTTCACCTCCTCAGGCCACTGGTTGGCTTCCAGGTGGGGGGGGTGTTGGGGGGGCCACGTGGGGGAGGCAGGGGTCTCCTCAGTAGCCCCTCGGCCCATACTCGCCTCGGCCAGCCCTGCCCTCAACCTTTCTGGGTTAAGACCTCTTTTAGGCTTCTGCCTCAGGGGATTCTGCCTACAACTTCTGGGGGCTCCCAGCGATAAAAGGTTTGCTGATGCCTTCCGGTTGCCCCATGCCCAGTCCCTTCAGAGGAAAGAGCTCTCCCAGAGTGGGCAGAGCTGAGAACGGCTGGTGCCAGCTAAGGGTGGGCTGGGGTCTGAGGAAGAGGGGAGAATCCAGCTCCTGGAAGCCAGGAGAACTGAACGTCACAAGGTCAGAAGGGTAATGGAAAGCGGGGTACTGAGCAGATTCTCCCAGGGGCCCCAAGAAGCAGTGTGCAGGGCAGACCGGAGGGGCTGTCAGGAAGACGGAGGAAAGGCCGCAGGCTGGGAGCAAGCAGTCTTGGGAAGACTTGGGCAGGCCTGGGGGCCCCCTCCCCTAGGTTAGCAGTCCCCGCCTCCCCAACAGGTCAGTGGCCCAGGCCTGCGGGAGCCCGTCCAGTCAGCGGGCAGCGCCGCCTGCGCAGCTGACTGCCCCAGGGCCTTCTCTCTCCGCTCACACCCACCCAGCCTGGGGGCCATGGGAGCCGAGGCTCCTGCCTTCCAGAGGTCCCTCGCGGGGCTCCCGGCCCTCTCACCTTGAAGAGGGGTGTGAGGACCACAGCACCTGCGCTGCCAAACTCAAAGGCGGTCAGCAGCTGGGGCAGCACCTTGTGCCGGCAGAAGTCCTCAGGGAAGGCGTCCAGGCTCTTGCTCAGCTCTTGGAAGAACTTTTGCTTCTCAGCTGGCTCTTTGATCTGGGGGAACGAGGACAGGGAGCAGGGAGGAAGAACCCAGCCTGCTACTGGCCCCCAGCCACAGGCCAGGCCTGGGGCGCCCCAGCCTGAAGGCGAACCCCACGGCTCTCCACGGCAGCCTGCAGCCTGGGCAAGGCTCGTCTGCGGATGGACCGGCTACACTGACCGGCTACACTGACCGGCTACACTGCAGCCCCCGGGCAGGGCCCGGCACAGGGCAGCGACTGGCCCTCCCCCACGGCCCCCGACCTGCTGCAGGACATCAGCCTCGGGCGACTGGACACGCCAAGGGGCCATTCAGCACCAACCGCACACACAGCACAGAGGAGCGCTGAGGCGCGGCAGGGGGAGGGGCCACTCCCGGCTGCGAGGGGCCCACAGCCACGCCCCTGGCGGAGAGCACACCTGCTCGAGGGCAGGGCCTGGGTACCGGGTCCCCCACACTGGCTCCTGCTGAGGCTGGAGGACCCACAGGTCGATTTCCTGCACATGACCCACCGCGCGCCAGGCAAGACGACGTGCCCAACCTGGCGCGGGTTAAATAACCCTCCCTGCCGCTTTGGGAGGTGTCAGCAGAATCCACGTTTGATCCAACAAGGAAGCTGAGGGGCAGAGAGGACAAGAGCTTGCCAAAGTCAGAGCTCAGCAGCTCAGGGCAGGGTCTGGCCCACTATCCGGCACCCCTGCCGCCCCACCCTGTGAAGAGGCGCCGTCTCCCCTTTCACAAACCAGGAGGCTGAGTCTCAAGGTTCCCAGTCAAGAGCAGCTGGGCAGGGGTCATAGCCTGCTCCCCCAAGGCTCCTGCGTCCTCTGCGTGGCCTCATGCCACAGCGGCCTGGCCCAGGAGGAGCAGCCTCTGCGGGGGGCGAGGACCTGGCTGGCCCCAGCGGCCAGAGTGGGAGGCAGGCTGGCCTGATGCTCTGACAGCAGGGTTCAGGGTCAAGGTCCAGAGAGGCCCAAACCACACCCAAGGGCACCTGTAGGTAGTTGCAGCTGGGCTCGTCCTGTCCAGTGATGGGCAGGGCCCTGGGCATTAACCCCCACATCCTCCGGGAACTGGCCGGAAACTGCCCACCTCCTGGGGCGTGTTTTAAGACAGGCAGGCCAGCAGAGCCAGCCAAGTGAGAACTCCCAGTAACAGTGCCCACTGCCCCCACGCTGTCCAGGAGGCGGCAGGGCTCGGCATTTCCAGCAACTTCTCTTCAAGATGCCGCATGGGTGGCACGGACCTGTGCCATAGGTCTGTGATTTGTCACCCGCCTGGGCTTAGTCCTCAGTCATCGCGCTGTGTGCCCCACTGTGGCCGGGGAGAGCAGGTGTGGGAACACGCCGCCCCCCTCTCCCCCCTGTCCTACAGTGGCCCTGGGGCCATCAGACTGCTGCTGTTCCGCATTCGCGCTCCGGCAGAGGCCCCTCCCACCATCCTGCGGCTTGCTGCTGCCGGGAGCGCTCTCCCGTGCCCAGGCCCTCAGCCTCCACCTGCGTGCCCTGCGTCTTGCTCAGACGTCACCCTCAGGAGAGCCCTTCCCTGGGCACCCCAATCCACACCCTTTCGTCCAGCCCACACCCACCTGGGAGCACTCACTTCCTCACTGTCTGGTTCTGCTCCCCCTCCCCCATAGATGGGGGCCTGGCCCATGACTCCTGCTAGGAACTCGAGCAAGGGTCCAGGTGTGAGTCTCCTGCCCCACACCGTGCTGTCCACTCTGCCACCTGGCACTGCAACATCAGGGCCAGGGCTGGAATGGCCATGTGTGGTAATAGATGCCAAGAACTACGTTCAGCACCCACAGAGCCAGCCCCTGAGTTCCACTCCTGGACAGTGGCCATGAGGACCAGCACTGACTGCCACCACGGGTTCCATTAAGAGGGAGCCCACAAAGTGGACAGGCCGAGGCTGAGGGTGGGTGGCGCTCACCTGGATCTCTTCCAGGAAGAGGTTGGTCTCCACAAAGCGGTTGCTCATGAAGCCGCCGGGCGCTCGGCAGTTCTGCAGGAAGCGGGCTGGGTTGGGACGCACCTTTGGGTTGGCACCGACCAGCTCACAGTAATGGGGCACCAGTGATCTGGGGATCTGTGAGAGCAGGGTGAGCATCAGGATGGGGCTGGCTAGCAGGCATGGGGCGCAGGGGCCGGACACTCACCTCCCCGGGGTTGCGCTGGGCGCAGGGGCCGGACACTCACCTTCCCGGGGTTGCGCAGGGCGGCAGCGCGTGGCAGCGGCCCGTTGAAAACTTCCCAGACGAGGCAGCCCAGACGCCACATGTCAGCCGCCCTGAGACAGGTCCCAGAGCCGCTCAGGGCCGGCCACCTCCAGCACAGGCCACCGGGCTCTCCTCACCGCCCAGTGGATCCTCCCATCAGCCCCGAGCAGCAGGGTTGGGGTTGACAGAAAGGAACTCAAGAGGTGCCGGGCTGCTCACCGCAGACACCCACCCCGGGCTGCTCACCGCGGACACCCACCCGGGGCTGCACAACTTCCAAATTCAGAGCCACCATCCTGTCCTACTGCCCTGAGGACAAGGCGCCCCCCACCCCCCCGCCGGGCAGCAGAGAGCTGGGCTCAGGGGTCCCGAGGCCGCAGGGCCTCCAGAAGAGGGCAGGTTGGGGCACACTGCCCCAGTCACCCACCACTTCTCTTTGACGGCTCTGCCAGAGTTATCAGCCAACTCTGGGGGGTCGTACTGCTCGAGCTCGGGGACACCCTTGCGGGGGGGGCTGCCATCGCCCTGGGCCGAGTACATGTAGTCCAGCCCGCCAAGCTTCCACTCTCCGGCGCGGTCCACGAATACAGCGGCCATGCAGACATTGTTGTGGATGAGGCTGCAGTCATTGACCAGGAAGCTGAGGGCTTTCTGGGGGCAGAAGAAGCCATCACACCCTAGAACCTGCAGCCCCCCACCCTGCTCTCATCACCGCTGCCCCCCTTACCACAATCTGGTGTAGCCCCCAGGAGAGTTCCAGCTCTTTCAGGCCACCCGCATCTGCTCGAGCCTTGAGGTACATTCCCAGTGGGGTGACAGCCTCAGTCACTACATGCAGGCATTTGTCTGTCTGGAGAACGGGACGGGACACATCAGGGCGGTTGGTGGTGAGGAGAGACACAGGGTGAGAAAGGTGAAGGCGGGGAGACCAAGTCCTGAGTGCTGAGGCAAAACAGGTGGACACTGAGGAGCAGGGAGACAGAAGGGGATGTCTGGGAGAAAGTGAGGGGCAGACAGGGGCAGCCTGGGTAGCAGGTACCTCCAGTCCATCAATGTAGGCCAGAATGTTGGGGTGCCGGAGAGTTTTGAGGCGCTTGAAGGCAGCTTTGGCCACCTGGGTCTGCTCCTCGGAGCCAGGCTTCACGTCGTACACGAAGATGGACACCGGGCTGCCTGTGGCCTGGGGGAGAGCAGGGGCGTGGGCCGGGAAGGGGCGGCCACTGGGCCTGGGGCTCACCGCTCCGATCGCGCCCTGGGCGGTGAAGAGCTGGAGGAAAGGGCCGCCGGCGGTCTCGGCCCGGCCCGGCCAGCCCGCAGGGACCGTCCCCGGCCC